CCAACATTCCTTAAATTTGTAGGGACTCTCTCCACTGTGAATTCTTCCATGTTCAGAAAGCTATGAGGGCTGACTACATGCTTACCCACGTTCCTTACATTTATAGAGCCTCTGTTCATTGTGACTTCTTTTATGTCTAGAGAGGTTTGAGGGCCAACCAAATGCTTTGCCACATTCCTTACATCTATAGGGCCTGTCTCCACTGTGAATGCTTTTATGTCCAGAGAGGTATGAGAGCTGAGTAAAGGCTTTCCCACATTTCTTACATACATAGGGCCTCTCTCCAGTGTGAATTCTTTTATGTCTGGAGAGGTGTGAGGTCCGTTTAAATGCTTTCCCACATTCCTTACATTCATAGGGCCTGTCTCCACTGTGATTTTTTTCATGTCTAGAGAGGTTTGAAAGGTAACTAAATGCTTTTCCACATTTCTTAGATTTATAGGGCCTGTCTCCACTGTGAATGTTTTTATGTGCAGAGAGGTATGACAGTTGACTGAATGCTTTCCCACATTCCTTACATTTATAGGGCCTCTCTGCTCTGTGAATTCTTTTATGGTTAGAAAGGTTTTGTAGCTGACTAAATGCTTTCTCACATTCCTTACATTTATAGGGCCTCTCTCCTTGTGGCATTCTTTTATGTTTCGAGAGGTATGAGAGCCGACTAAAGGCTTTCCCACATTCTTTACATTCATAGGGCCTCCTCCAGTGTGAATTCTTTTATGACTAGAGAGGTATGAAAGCTGACTAAATGCTTTAGTACATTCTTTACATTCATAGGGCTTCTCTCCACTGTGAATTCTTTTATGTCTATAGAAGTCTGAGGAACAACTAAATGCCTTCCCACATTCCTTACATTTATAGGGCCTCTCTCCAGTGTGAATTCTTTTATGTGTGGAGAGGTGTGAAAGGTCATTAAATGCTTTCCCACATTCCTTACATTCATAGGGTCTCTATCTGGTGTGAATTCTTGTATGTCTGGAGAGGTGTGAGGCCTGATTAAATGCTTTCCCACATTCCTTACATCCATATGGCTTCTCTCCATTGTGAATTCTTTTATGCATAAGGAGGGTTGAGGGCTGCTTAAATGCTTTCCCACATTCCTTACATTCATAGGGCCTGTCTCCACTGTGATTTTTTTCATGTCTAGAGAGGTTTGAAAGGTAACTAAATGCTTTCCCACATTCCTTACATTTATAAGGCCTGTCTCCACTGTGAATGCTTTTCACATGTGCAGAGAGGTATGACAGTTGACTAAATGCTTTCCCACATTCCTTACATTCATATTGCTTCTCTCCATTGTGAATTCTTTTATGTCTAACCAGGGTTGAGGGCTGCTTAAATGCTTTCCCACATTCCTTACATTCATAAGGCCTCAATCCACTGTGAATATTTTGATGTATATGGAAGCCTGAGAGGTGCCTAAATGCTTTCCCACATT